CCTGTCAAGTGTAGGTAATAAATGCAGTAAAATTAATGAGAAAATTGAAGAAGACAAGATTTATAGTGGTTTGGTCAACTCGACACACGTCCACTCTTCAATGGCTCTAGTTGCCGGGTATTTTATTAATTCAAGGGTATGTAGAACAGAGAATACAACTTTGAGGGGGAATGGAGAATCAAGGAAAGTAAAATGTCAGGTAATCAGTCTCTTGCCCTCCAAGTGTTGGTAGAGCGTGCAATTTATAATAGTTCCCTAACAGATTGGAGCTACTTTACAGCAATTAAAAGATCATTTTGGTGGAGCTCACGACTTCTTCTCATCGAAGGAGGAGGTTGGGGAGCTCTTCATGAGATGCGGTCAAAGATGACGTGAGGGTAGACCGTTTCCTTCGGTGGTGCTGATAAACTTTCCATGCTCTTCTCTTAATGACGTGGCTAAGCAAAGAGTCTAACCGGTCTTGTACTATCTTGGGCTTGATGGATTTAACATGAGGTTGAGCTCCTCAATTGGGGTTGAACTTTAACACATAAATTAGATTATTTGAACTTGACCCATCAAATTTCAATATTTATTGAAATTCACTATCTATTCAATGATTAAAATTATCAACTCTGACTTTCAAATCTATTTTTTCTTACATAAATTCACTAAAACTCGCCGCACCCAACACACTTATTTTATATATGGGCCCAATTCCCAAGTACTAGCCCAGACAAACACACTTGGTTCCCGCTCTTTTGTTCTGTTTTAGGGTTATTTGCCGCGTCAAAGGTCCACGGTTTCAAAAGTCTCATTTGCTATTTCCTTATCTGAGAAACTTCAAGAGCGAGAGAGAGAGAGAAAGAAAAAATGTTTGGGAGGGTAAGACCATCATCGTCTAGATCCATGGAAATTTTGGAATTGGAGTGGCCACCTTCTAAAATCATGAAGGACGATCCTTTCTCCATCTATGGTACTACTGTTCTAGCTCTACTTTGCAGTTCTATTATGTCTAGTTCTATTATATGACAATTCCTATTGATTCTTTCTCCCATATAAAAGTTTATACATACTTCTTTATATGTGAAGTGGGTTTTTTTTGGTAGACAAGGTCAGTTTTGTTCATGTGAATGTAGAACGAATTTAGGGTCTCTACCTTGCATTATCTGGAGGTTTTGATTTTATCCCTTATTGTTGTCAATGTAATGTGATAAATTGTAGTTTCAAAATTTTCTGTAATTGGGTTGCTCTACTGTACTTAAAATCCAAAGCTGGGTTTGTTGAACTGAATTGCTTTTTGGGGGAAATGTAGGAGGATAATAAAAGATAAAATTTAGGTTCAAAATGTGATCGCCTTTATGTTTACTTGTTTTTTTAGCTGTAAAAAAAAAAAGTTGTCTTCAATGGTGGCTGCCGAAAAGTTATAATTTTGTGGCAATGTGCAATATTTATTTGAAGAAGGAAACAACAGATGTCAAGATTAAGGAGAATCTATTGTTGTTAACTACCTTCCAAGCTTTCTAGTGCAGCATTTGCCTGGGACTTAAGGCAATTGTTTGGAATGGGAAATAGATTGGGAATTTATTGGTGGCAGTAACTTGAAAAAGCTAATGGAAGTGATGGAATTCTGTGAGAATTTTTAGGTGATTATAGGACGTAGTAATAGCACAAAAAGAAACTGTAGTTGTGGTGAGAGGCGGGTTAATGAGCTGTACTACTACACAAATTCACATCCAAGAGACTTGAAATTGCCCGATTCTATTTTCCAGTCCTCAGGTGGAAGACATAGCAGCTGAAAGTACAAGCTTAGGCTTGTGTTCTAGTTTGTGAGGATATGAGTAGGGCTAGAAACTTTTTTTTTTTTTGTTTAAAAATTTGTTCTCACTTCCTTCTGACATTATTTGCAAATCTGTTACTCTCTTACTTGTCTTGATGTACATGTTTATGTAAGCTCCTGGGGTCTTCTCCTTGCTTTTTGCTGTTTCCGGTTAAACAGAATGTGTATTCTGAAAAGACAAGGCAATTTTGAAGTGTAACTAATACATTGCATAAATATAGGTAATCATGAAAATGAGGTCAGGCATCTTCCATAGCATATGCTGCCCCTTCAAGAATTTTTAGAAATTTTTTATAAATTCTGTGTTATTTTTAGTACTGTCCCTTGTGTTCTTGTTGTTTCTTAAATCTGGCTGTGTATGTATGAACTAATACTTATCAAATAATGGTCCTGATCCTCATGGTGAAGTATTGTATAAATTTCTTCACCCTTTACTAAATAGTATAAGTGGACTACTCACACTTCATTGCTATAGACGAGCAAAAAGGGTAAGATAATTCTATTGCAATACAATACAAATACACAACCAATGCAAGAAATCCTTCTCTGAGGAATAATTGAAACACTCTCACTCTTATTCCTAGCTAGGACACAAAAGTAAGAGAAGTTTAACCTTCTGAGTAAAAAGGATGTAAAAGAAATGTAGAAGTAGAGATTGGCTTAGGGGTGTAGGGAAGCTCAAGCCAAACAATCCGCCTTAACAAGAGGAAGGGAGCCTTGGGAGCCCTTATGCGGCTGATAGAGGAGTTCTTATTATCAGTCTAGCGTTAGGGGAATTTATTACAGAAATAGGGGTAATACTATCTATATTACTAATAAAAAGAAGTTAAGTGAAAAATTTTTGATTGACTATTATATCCCTATTAAAAATGTTAATACCAATTATATCTTTATGTATTTAATTGTCAAATATTAATTAAATATTCAATTGACCCTTCATATACTTTCACTTCTACACAAATTATTATTCTTTGTAGTGTACATTTATTTATTTCACATGTTGATAACTCTCTTTCTCTCCCAAATTCTTTTCACTAACCATTTAGTTTATAATACAACCATGAACTAATTTTATTTTTGCTGCCACTTCATTGCCACTTAATTTTGTATTGATTCATTGATATGCTTGTATATAATTGTTCAAATAATAGTATATAAAAAGTCACATTTTTACCTTCAAATAATTGGACTTTTAATCCTTCCTCCAACACATACTGTAAAAGCTTCTACTTTGTCTCATTTACTTTTTGACTTTTCAAGTTCTAACTTAATATTGATTATCCGGTTTGAATCTTTTTGTTTCATACACATTCTCTCTTCTTTTGTAAAAACCGAAACACAAAAGCCAAAAAACTCCTATAGTTGTTAAGTTCTATAATTATGTGAATTATTTTCTTTCTTTCTCTTTCCACCAACCAATTGATCTCAATTTTTGTGTTTATTTCTATAGTCTGTATATGTTCTCTTTATTTTCTGATTCTAATTAAGGATTGTTCATTTTGACAGTGAAAAAAACTCAATATCCAAGAGTGGCGGACGATGAATAATATATGAAGACAAGGATTTGACATGAGGTATGACCAAAATTTGTATAATTTTGTTCAATCTCATTATTTTTTGTTGATTTTGATTAGATAAATGTTGGGTGAATTGAATGAGTTTAGTGGATTTGATCAACGTAAATATAGGATCATAAGAATATATGATCAATCACAAAACACAGAGAAATAATTTATCAAAACATAAGAATATTGGTATCTACTAAGATGTGCAAATCCTGTTTATTAAGACAACATAAGATTTATATAGTTTTCTATTGTTTTGTCTAATCTAATATAACCATTAGACATGTTCATGCACTAACTCCACATAATTTTAGGAGGTAAATTTATTTGGTTTGTTGTTAGTCTTAGCCTTGCTCGATGACTATCTCAAGGTGTAGAGACTATAACTATACTACTCTAAAAAGTCAATATAGCTGAAAAACATTTTATTTCTATTTTTACCCTTCAACATTACAAATATACCAAGCTTATCCTCCAAATTTAATACCATAATAAACCTAAATCACCTCAGCCCAAAATCTTCCATATTCTTAGTCGTTACCCTTTCTTTGCCCTATTTTTCAGTCGTCTCTCTCACTCTCTCTCTCTCTCCCTCTCACTGTTTAGTCTCTCTTAGTCGTTACTCTCTCTCTTCTCTCTGTTATTCACAAATTGGCCGAGAACACACAGTCATGTGCCCCTTCTCTTCACCTTCCCCCTCTTTGTTTGTCTCTAGAGGTTTCAAGATTACGATTTATATTGATGAGTTTTTCTTGATCCGCATTTTTGGGGGGTAGGAATTGCCTTTATATTTGGATTTGTGCACTTTCTTCCTTGTGGTTATTGTAAGTTTATTGTTTACCTTGATTGAATTATGTCCAGATGCTCTCTTATTGAATCCAACTTTAGATCATTTTAAGTTATTGGGTATTTTTGCTTTTTTTTTGGTTTTTCGATATTGACTCTTTATTTCAAATGGCCTCGATCTTTTCTCTGAGGTTTCATATTTTTTGATTGACGGACAATGGTATTTTGTTTTTTCTATTACAAGCATGGAGAACCATTATGTGACATGCACTAACTGAGATTGATGCGGGTATAGGGTATAGGGTTTCATTTCAGTGATCATAGATCTTCCAATTACGAGATTTTTGATACAGGTACATGTGTATATATATGTTCTCTATTTATTCTACCTTTGTATCTGGCTTGCTTTGTATTGCTTTTTCATTATTCCTAAGTTTCATGGATTTTGTGGGATTTTGTACGAGTTTGGTATCATTTTCTATTTTGGTGTGTGGATTATGTTTGTTGCCACCATCGTGGTGTTCTATCACCTCCCTTAATCTTTCAATTCTCTCAAATTCTACCAAAGCACACTGATATTTACCTTCCATGGCCCAAGAACAGTGGCACCCATCAAAGATTCGAGCAACGTTTGCTTCGTCGGGTTCTCAATTATGTCAAGAAGGCAATCACTAAAAATTCTACATGATAATGTTTGGCTTCTTTGTGGGCAATTATTGAAGTAAATTTCTGATTTATTTTGTGAATTGTTAATTTTTTAAAGAATTGTTACTTTATCCATGTTAGTTTGTGTTTGGTATGATTTATCCAGGGTTGTGAATTTTTTATAGAGTGGACATGTCTATCAAAATCTCACTTGATGGTGTGACTGAAGAAGAAGTCATACGGTGGTACTCTATCGGCACCCTTCTCTCAGGTTACGTCTACATATGATATATTTGTATTTCTTTATTAATCGCTGCAATTCCTTGTTTTTTCTTTTAGATAGATGTTGACAAATTTACTTATTTGTTTTAGAACTACTGGTTGCTATTGGTTGGGTGTAGATCAAATGAATCACTTTCGTACGTAGCTTTATTACACTTTCATTACTTGGAGATATCTACTTTGAGGATGTTATTTTCCATGATCAAATTTGTTATAAATTGTATATGCATACACATTTGGTGTTGATCAATGATTGAATTAGATGTCAAAAGGAAGTGCTTTAAACTTTCATGGGTGTTAGTTATCAAAGTGTGACCATTATAGGAACACCAAGAAAAATTTCTGAATAATTACTAAACTAGCTGTTAAAATAAGAAAATATGATGCTTTGCTCATTAATTGTGAGTCTGGGGTCATAAAGATCAATTGGAACCCAGGACTCCCACTGAAAATCGGTGGCTTACTGAAAAATGGGGAACTCTTATGAGGGTTTTTGCATTTCATCTCAAAGTGAACTAAATTAACAGCCCATGAGCAACATGGTGCGAGTTTACTACGTATCCTGCAAAAGAAGGGGGAAAACATGAGTTTTCTTCATTTTTCTTCTAATTCAGTTAGGGATGTAAGCTGAAAAAAGAAGAAAACCCATTTTTATGGCCTGTATTGAATCCCAAAAAGCACTTGAAATCTTATGAAACCACTCAAACAATTGTAAAAGGGGCATTAGGATAGGGGGTGATAACTTCCCTAGATTTTAGATATCAGGTTGAACTTCAATGACTAAAAGGGATGTAATCTAATCTGTGGAACTAAAATTGCCGAAGTCTTTCTCGATCCGACCTACACCTTTCACATGGATTTGTTACTGGAACTAAGTATAAACTGGCTATATAAAGAGACCAAATTTGGTTTATTTATCTTTAAGCATAAGCTGCCACTGAAGCAAAAGTATCATTGTTGTTCTGTCTGCTGGTTGAAATTCAGTGCCTAACACCAAGGACAAAACTCAGGTTTGTTGTTTTAACACAAAACTTACATTTCTTTGATTTTCTGCTTTTCTTTGTGGTGATTAGTGTCAAGCTTTCAGGGATGAGAAATGCAAAGACATGAATTCCTATGCAGAAGAGGCCAATGTGGATTACGATGACATCGAAAGCAAATCAGACATGTCTGACAATACATTTGCGAAGAGTGTTGGATCTTTGTCAAGTAACCCTTTTGGCAGTACATCTCAACCAGGAGAACCTTGTAGCAGGGTATTGTCAACTTACTCCTTTTTTCAGAGCTGAGATGGATATATCCTATGGGAGCTGGGCAAGGGAGGGAAAGGAGGAGGGGATTAGTCCACCCTCCTAAACTTCTACTCATCTTACTCTATGTTTGGTAAATGGTATTAGGCATTAGGAATAGAATGAGCATTCCATGAGAATCGTATTTCAATGTTTGGTTTGCAGGATTTAAAATCCATTCCCATTCCAAAGGAATACCTAATCCACAAATTATGGGATTAGGCATTACCAAATCCAACATGGTATTCTTCATTTCCAATCCACTTGGTAATGACCCAACCCATCTGAAAAAAAAAACCCGATCGCTCACTGTTTTCCTCTCTATTGTCTCATCTGGTCTCCTCTCTCTTGTCTCATCTAGTCTCGTGTCTCTCTCTTTGACTACAAGTAGAAGGTTCAAGCCCTCCATTTGCAGTTTGCACTCCGACAATCCGGCGGGCAATTGATAGAGAATTCTCAGTTCACATTAAATACCACGAGGTAACTTAAGTTTTTGATTCTGATTCAATCTCTCCCTTCAATTTCTACATACACAAAATAATACCCAAATCATATGCATTTATCTGGTTCGTCGTCGCGCCGAGTATTGATTGCTCTATGAAATCCACACTTTCAAGATTATGCATAGGTATGGTGGTGAGAGACTACAAATCAAACAATCTTTTTTTTTTTTTTTTATGTAGCATTATTTATTTATGCAGATTACCTGTTTGTGATTGTGTTGCTGTAGTGTCCATTCGAGATGAAACTTGAAAGAAAGCTGTAAACCCAGCAAAAGAAAACTTCGAATTACTATAGGTTTATGGCATTTTTACTTGTTTCAGTTCATGTGGTGTCCAGAGCTTTTGTGTGGGCATTGCTGAATCTTGTAGTTTACTTTTTGATTCTTTTGTCCATTTTTTTTAATAGTATTTTTTTATATAACTTCATCACCTTTTGGTTGTAGTTGTGCTTTCTGCTCTCTGTTTCTCCAAATGGGAATAAATTATTGTGGAAGGATGGCTTTATTATAATTTGATTCTACTTGTTGCTATGTTTAGATCTTTCCATTGATAATGACAAAAAAATTTCATGTGTGTGGTTTCCTTGGTAAACCCGTGGTTATTCATCTGGCTTCAAGGATATTTTTGGGGTTGCTTTTTGTTTTTTGCATTAGAATGATGTATAACTCTGCTTATTAGCACTTTAATTTGATTGTGTATTGACCTTATTTCAATAATAGTCTGAAAAAATGACATCTTCAAGTCAAGTGGAGTCACGAGGTCCAGGTAAGAATAAGTGTAAGTGGACTGCTGGGATCAGAACTAGCCTTTTGGGTTGTTAGGCAATTGTCAAGTGCAAATCTAATATTGTTGATTATCAGTACATCCAGTAATAATGCTCTTTCTAATATCATTACACGTAAATGTTGGCTTGCCTTTTCCCTTTTGCAACTTTTCAAGAAAAGGGTTAGCATAATAGTTTTTAAGTGACCTGCTGATCAAAGAATTACTAATTTAATTTTTTGCTCAAAGCTTGATACTTGCTGTCTTGGCCTTGTATTCGAATGCATAATACAAACAGATTCACATATATATGATTCATTTTTTATTGCTGTTCTTTAGTTGGGTATATAATTTTCTTTTTTCTTACTTTTCGTTGAGTTTCTCAGATTGTTGAACTAATGAATCAGCTTCAGAACTTGCAACCATTTCTCTTGCTGAAATATGTGGAACAATTAGTGCTCTGAAAGCAAATTATTCAAACATTGACGTCAAACTGAATCTAGATTAGTTTCTAAGCGCCAATAGACCTTTCTGCTCTTGTAGTTCAGAAACATAAATTAATTGTATGAATTGTAGGACAATTGTTTTGCATAGTTGTGATTCACGCTGCAAGGAAAAAGAAATGGGTCTGCTTTGGGCAAGCACTCTTGTAGGAAGGAAGCTCTTGTGTACAAAGTACTCGTGAATAATTTTTCATTGTTCGGATATTTTAATGAAGTGCTTTGCTTGCAAATTTTGATGTCTGCTTAATCTATTCTCTTTGTTGGTTATCTTTTCCAACTGTGTTGAATGGGTGGAACCGTGGAAGGCACCAGCCCCTCCCCCCTCCCCCCTCTTTCTGATATTCCTAATTATTTGGGTACCGATCCAAACAAGTACCTAAATTTTTTGCATTTTGTTTATGTAGCAATATCAGAGTTTTTAATCTGTGCTGACCATTTGCAAGAATCAGCAAACACTTATGTTTGTTTCACAACTACATCAGGGATCAGATTCCAATAGACCCAATCGAGACAGAGGTAGATGAAACAGGTCTCATGGTAGAAAATGATGTATATGATGATCGTATTACCACGATTGAAACATCTAACGAGTGGTCAACATTTAGATTGAATTTGACAAATAAAATGTTTGATGAGTGGAGAGCAAGTAGACAAAGAGTGTAATTTTTTGTATCTATATTTGAGAATAGTTTTATTTCTTGGAATTCTACCTTCAATGCTATTGAGATGAAATGAATGGAATTTAAGAATTTTTGTTTTTATTCAACTTGTTTTTGGAATTTAAAATTTTTTGTTTTTATTCAACTTGTTTTTGTTTTCTGTATATTGTTGATTATTTTTTGGACTTGTTTTTCATCGATTTATTTTTTGGTTCAACCTACATATTTGGGTGAGATTCTTAGTTGTTTCAATAGTTTTCTTTTTGGATTGGCACATGTGTTCCATTAAATTCATAAAGAAGTAAAAGAACTATAATTGTTCATTTGAAATGAATGACCAATTTTGAATAGTTTTTTTTATTTTGATTTCTTTTTGTGAACCTATTTTTGAATGAATTTGTTTTCTATTTTTTTAAAATTTATAGGGGTTTAATTTTTTTCAATAGATTTTCATTTTTTCTAATTATAAAATGTTTTACACAACTTTTAAAGGCAATTGCAATTATAAAATAAATTGTTATTAATTATTTTTAGTCACTTTGGATATTTTGATTAAATTCGATTCTATTCCAATGAAAAAATTGTTTTATCTTACCATAAGAATGAAATAAACATTCAATTTCAACACTTAATCCTAAATAACTATCAAACATTGGAATGGTAATTTGCATTCCATTCTATTCTCAAGTTCATTTTATTCTTAAACTCGTTCAATTCTTATTGAAAAACATTACTACGTACCAAACGTAACGTTAAGACATTGGACAACTTCGTATAGTATGGAAAACAAGAGAGCATAACTGTTAAATTAAACTAAAACGAAAGTTTTTCAAAATTCAATATAGAACGTTAATCATACTAAAAAAAAAAAAAAGCAGGGCATGAGACTTCCGTTATTGTGGGATTTGAGGAGGGTCAAATGTACACGGTATTATTCTTATATGTAAAGAGATTGTTTCCCGTGCCGTAATGTTAAAGTCAAGATGAAGCAATCTTTTTATCACACTACAAAACAATGATAAAACATTAAAAATTTTTAAAAGGGGCGAGCATCGGAGAATTGCTGGAGTAATTAAATTATCTGAGTTCATATATATATATATATATATATTATGACTTGTTTATTTATTGTCTTAGGAGATCAACTAAATAGGAATTATATTTCTCTGTTACTGTGTCCTTGCTATGTTTGTTTTCTGCCTTTTCTTCCAAGGGTTGTATGTTTGTAGACATTTGTGTGTATGCTTCACAGCTATGATGTATGCTCGAATATTTTACTTAACTTTGATGGGGGAATTTTCTCCGTACGGGGGTATGAAGAGAACACTTGATGATTTTAGGATTTCAACAAAATCTGAAGAACTTTTACAAGTAGAAGGGGCTTGTTTCAGAACTATCAATACTTTGAGGCAGGCGAAGTGGAAATATGTGAGATATGATAGTGAATATAATCAACGAATGGAGAAAGTTGGCCAGAGGCCTCAAGAAGCACTCGATAAAAATGAGATGTCAGTTTCATTTAGGTAACAGAAAAAACCAAAAAAATATAAGTAGGAGCAAATGTTAAAAAGCGACCCATACAGGTATCCTAGGACGTAGAGAAAAAATATCATGCAGGAAATTGTTAAAATGTTAATACATGTTTGTTTATTGAGTTCCTTGAATGATATTGATACAATGGCAAGTCCATTTGTGAATTTTCTTTTAAATTAAGTGGAAAGCATTCCTTAAGCCTTTGTCAATGGTTGATTATGTGGGTGGAAGCCCATACTCTACACAAGCACATGCATGCTTAATACTCAGTTATTATGCCAACGTTTAAGCAATTCATATGCATAAAATTTTGAGTTAGGTAACAAAATCTAATTGTCCACACACCACTCTTATTTAAAATGTTAATACATGTCTTTGTAGTGAGTTCCTTGAATGATATTGCTACAAATTTTATATAAAAAAAAATATTTCTTAAAAGTAATGGAGGATATAAGTATGACTATGCAACTACTCGTTGTCTTACTGAAGTTTCCAAGGGGCTTCTTGCTACTAATTTTATAAAATTTTTAGGTTCCATTCAAGACATGATATAATATTTTGTGGCCAATATTTTTTTATTAAAAGTCCATTTTGGTTGTATAATGTTTTATGCAAAAATAGCAGTTGAAAATTTATGTCAGTTATCTCTGCAAAAATTTATTGTCAATTGGAAATTTATATTACAAATACGTTGTATCCATAGTTTCCTTGACTTATACTGTGAATTAATTATCTCTATCTCTTTTAAATAATCGATTATGTTTCTCATACAAGCGCCTTTTTTTTGTTGTGGCTCATTATTTGTTTTGGTAGTCCCACCTGCTAGATGCATGTATTTTGGTTGTAATATTTTATTCTTGCAACGGTTCACGTGCAACTCACGCGTGCACCAACTAGTAATAGTGAAGTGAGAAAAAAATATAAGCAGATTGGGAGGACAAAATAACTTCGGCCACCTTGCACTGCACTTGATCAAGGCAGTGGAAAAAATGAAGAAAAATTCTTTGCCAAAGGGTTGCCTGTAGAGTCTTGAAAACCTC